TTTATTACTTTGCTGTAAAGTATTATGATCATAGAGCCCATGAGGCATCATTACAGACATTCTCAGACTACACCCTGAATTTTCTCATTGTTTAAGTTTTGTCAGAAAAAGTGCTTGTTGTATCCTACATGTTTTTTCCCGATGAATGATTAGCAGTGAGCAAAATATTCTTTTTTTTTTTTTTACTTCAACTCTTGCAGTTTTTCCAGTTGTTTCAATTAAAAAGGTACCTAGTGGCATTTACCTAGACAGATATGTTCACCAAGATTTTCCATAATAATTATTGGCTGGGAGGCTTCAGTCTTTTGAGGACTTTCCTTGAGACATTGTAAAGAGGACATGTTTTTTGACATGTGAGGCTCGTCACAGTATGTGTAGGTCTTAACATAGTGCCATGGCCCGATTCTGCAGTGTTCTGTGTAGTGATTTATACCAGTGCAAAATGGATACAAAATGTTGCTATTCTAATACAGATGAATAAACTTTATATTTTAGGGCTTATGATCTTTTCAGTGTTGTGGCCTTTAATTAAAACACAACTAGAAACTTTCTCAGTCTAGCCTTGGGCATGAAGAATTACTAGAGGGGCAAATCAGCGAGGGAAACAGACCAGTTATTGCAGCCTTTACTAGTCTGAACTGTCTCCTAATGCAACAGTGAAACCGTTTATTAAATAGGAAAATAGATTTGATTTCCTTTTCTGATCATTTTCATTTTCATTTCTTCCCCTTTTTTGTTTTGTTTTTTGTATTGCCTTACAGATAACCCAAGTGGGCAAAGCCTGGAAGAAAAGATTATCTATGGAGTAGAGAACAGCAGCACGTTTTTGGAGTGCAGTCCAAAATCTCAGCGTGCATTAGTCTACTGGCAATTCCAAAAGCAAAATGACGACCGAAAAGAAGAGGTACAGTAACAAGAATTCAAATATCTGTGACACTTTAGCAACAGTATATCCTACCACAACCTACCTCCTCCCTAAGGGGCCATTTCAAGTTCAACCTTTACTCTAAACAAAATCACCTTTTCATTTAGTTTTCAAAAACCTGTACAAGGAGCCTTGCCTCTTCCTTGTCCCTTATCCCATTCTGACAAGACATCTGGTTTCCTCTATCACCCCAAGCTGTCCCCATTTGATAGACTTTCCTGGGCTCTCAATAGGAAACCTTCACTGCCTCCTCCCATTTTGACTATCTGTAAATAGACTGCTCTAGTTGATCAAAATCTCCTCCTGATCCCCCTGTCTTTATGAGGAGAGGAGAGTCTGCACCCTCTCATGCTCTGAATAAAAACTCAAAAAAGGATATAAACCTCACCTTCCTACTTCTCTCATGATCCCCTTTCTTGCTGGCATCCTTAATGTACCCAGTTCATGCACTCAGTATACTCTAGGCTCTTCCAGTCACATAGGTGTCTTAAAGGGTTAAGTTCATCCTTTTCAGCACACACATGTCTTAAAGGCTTAAGTTCATCCTTTTTAGCACACATAATCCTGTAACCCCTATGTCGCACTTAAACCATCCGAAAAGTCTTACTTTGGTTTTATATGATACATAGACCTGGAAAAGACCTGATACATAGACCCCTCTGCACAGAATTGCTGCACAGAACATTAGTAGGCAAAACAAGTAGCTGAATCCAGACCACTTTGCAGACACTTTTTAAATTTTCTAAATATTAATACAATTATTAATTATAAGTATAAATCCCCATGATATGTTCTGTCCTTAAAACCATTGCTTTTATAGTGACCAGTAAATTGTGCTGGCCAGTTTAGTTCAAAAAGGAAATCCTAAGTCAATTAATAGGAAATGTTGTACGCCAAATC